CCATCCTCCAAATCAACGTATGTGAACTTGTCCACTTTGTGTTCCATTTGCACTGCGTTTTCATTCCGGTCTCCTGCAGTCTCCATTGCGTATATCCTCTAGTTGGACCTTCTATATATCTGCTACTTTGATGTACATATGACTATTTTGAACATACGATCATACTCAGTGCATGCTTCACGGGCTTCGTGAAAAAAACAATATTATTATTATTATTACATTGCACAGCATTTATTCCATAACTCACTGCTTACTGACCAACAGGACGGGTTTACCAAGGGTAGATCATGCCTATCTAATTTATGTGTTTTTTGGATGAGATAACCTCGAGGTTAGATGAGGGCAAAGCTGTGGAAGTATGTTATTTAGACTTTTGCAAAGCTTTTGATTCCGTTAATCACAGGTTACTATTAGCTAAGCTCCAACCCAAGGGGATAGGGGAGCAGATACATAAATGGATCAGGGATTTCCTGACCGGTCGTACATTTTACGTGAGGATTGGAGATAAAGTATCGGCCAAAGCCATACCCACTAGTGGAGTCCCACAGGGCTTAGTGCTTGGTCCCCTACTGTTCCTCATTTTTATAGACGACTTGGCTGCCATCCTACGTTAGCCATGTTTCACCTTTGCAGGTGATGTCAATATCGTGGAATCAGCCAGTCGGCAGCAATTGCAGGATGACCTGCGTAGAGCAGCGGAATCGGCAATAGTATTGGACCTCCCAAAAACGCAGAGAAAAGCAATTTACTTTCCCATGCTGATGAACAGTTGTCAATCCATTTAGGTGGAGGGGATTTCACTGCAGGGATTGTAAAACCAACAGATACTTAGGAATATCGGCGGCGGCAGATTTCCGCTGGCTGCAAAGAGGGCGAGGAGAGAGCTGTTCAGGCTCAAGTCGGTACTATCGTGTAGGAAACCCGACGTATTCCTACTCCTGTACAAAGCCATAGTTAGGCCGCACTTGAAGTACTGCGTGCAGGCTTGGGTACCCTTCCTCAAAAAGGATTCAGCCTGTTTAGAGAAAGTTCAAAGACTAGCCACCAGAATGATTGGAGGCCAAAAGGGCAAGTCATACCATGACAGGCTAAAAGACTTTGGACTCTTCTCGCTAGATAGGAGGAGGCTAAGAGGAGACTTACTGGAGACCTTCAAGATTGTAAAAGGGCTCTCGGGAGTAAGGAAAGAGAGCATGTTCCAAGAGGTTATCCACCAAGGAACTAGAGGGAATGGGTAAAAACTGCATAAGCAGCATTGCAACCTGGTTGTTAGATCCAGCTTCTTCAGCAAACGAGTGGTGAACAGTTGGAACCGGTTGCCAAAAGAATTAGTAGATTTAGGAAGCATGCCTGCATTTAAGCGCGCCCTGGATGAGCGATGGTAAGAGCTCTTTCCAGAGCAGGATCTTTATTGTAATATGGGACGCCTTCATGACCCATGTCCCCTGTTCGCCGACGAGGTGAAAGGAGACGAGCTTTTTCTTCTCCCTTTCAGCAAGGACGCCGTACTGAAGGCAATTCGCAGTGGTGGGTGCACACCTTGTGAACATACTGCCGGAAGAACTCTGGACGCTCGATTGGCCGTGACCATTATCAGTCCTGTGCAACCTGACCTGACCTTACCTGACCTGGGTATTCATGAGTGTAATGGGACAAAGTACGCCAGACAAATACCACAGGACCTTCTAGTCCATCAACCAGGCCGCAGTGATTGAATCGGGTAGTCAGTGCAGCTGGATTGTAGAAGGAGAGCAATATGCTGAACGACAGTGGTGTCGAATTAAGAACAACATATTGACACTCACAGACCAAGCTGCATCACTCAAGAAGGTCAGACGCAGGGGTGCTCCACCATGGTGGAGTAGGGTGAGAAAGCCAGCCAGAGGAGGAGAGGTTGGCCCTACATGCGAAAACCCACCCCAAAGCCTACTTCAACTACGTGCAGTCCGCTGGAATTTGCATGCAGTTGGCCATGCCAGAGGTGTACATAGAACCAACGAACGTAGAAGAGCACCTATAGAGACTGATGGTATCTAAAGCTCCGGGTCCAGAACAGCTGCATCCAGCGGTGTTAAAACCACTGGCGAGCGTGCTTGCGGAACCGCTTGCTCGACTGTTCAATGCATCACTGGAAAAAGGACGACTCCCTAGTGACTGGTTGGTGTCAACTGTCACTCCAATCTACAAAGGGGGAAATAGAGAGAACTGCGCAAATTACCAACCCGTCAACTTGACTTCGGTGGTATTAAAAACCATGGAGTGAATCATACGGGATAAAATAGTCACACACTTACAAGCAATCAAGATGTTGACTGCACATCAGCACGGCTTCATGAGGAGACGATCGTGCCTCACCAACCTGCTGTGTTTCCTTGACCAGGTAACGCATAGGATTGACCGGGGAGACAGGGTGGAAGCCTACTACCAAGACTTTAAATGACCTTTGACTCGGTCAACCACAGGTTGATGATGATGAAGCTTCGACGCTTTGAGCTGACTCCCAAGGTGGAACGGTGGATATGTAGTTGTCTAAACGGTCGGAGTTTCCAGGTAAAGATAGAGCGGGAATTATCCCAGAAAGGTGAACTCCGTAGTGGGGTCACACAGGGGTCTGTTCTGGGTCCGCTACTGTTCCTACTGTGCATCAGTGATTTAGTGAAGGGCTTGAGGAACCCATGTCTCCTCTAAGCTGATGACGTAAAGCTGATCGGCAACCCCAACTCTGAGACTATACAGAGTGATCTAAGCAAGATCTACGAATGGTCTGTGCTATGGGATTTGCTGCTAAATATCGGCGAATGCCAGAGACTCATCACCAGGCACTGGGGATGAACTGGATGCAGTGAGGGAGGCTAAAGATCTTGGTATTAAGATCCAGGCTGATTTCAAACCAATTGCTTAGTGCCGACAAGCGGCACGAAAGGCACTAGGAGCTCTCTACCAACTGAAAAGAGCACTGAGCTCCAGAAGGCCGGAGATTATGCTACCACCGTACAAGGCCTTTGTGCGCCCTCATCTGGAGTACTGTGTCCAGGCCTGGAGCCCATATCTCAAAAGTACTCTAGAAGGCGCAGCGGTAATTCAATTGATGGTTCCCAGGAATAAGGAACCTAAGATATGAGGACAGGCTGCAGAGACTCGAGCTCTTCTCGCTGGAGAGAAGAAGAAGAAGGGGAGACCTGATTGAGGCATTAAACTCCTAAAGGGTTTGTATGACATTGGGGAAGAAGGGAGACCACTACTACCTCCCAGCGAGAACCCAATGTTGGAGGGTAATGACCTTAAGTTAGCTAAGGTCAGGGTATCTACCCGCATAAGGTAGCAATCGTTTACCATAAGGGTGGTGACCGACTGGAATAGACTACCCAATGAAGTAGTCAATTCCAGTTCGATGAAGAGCTTCAAGACCGGCCTGGACTCCATATGGCAAGGCATTTTCACCTAAGAAACCGCCTGACCAACGTGATTGTCCAGAAGCTCCACTCACTCTATCTCCCCGACCATCTCTCACTTACTCTCTCACTCTTATTCCATTACTACTATCTCCCATTCTTTCCATACCATATCCCCATGCCGTCACCATTACCCGATCACTAACTTACCACTAGAACTCCTCGTCCCTTTCGGCCGGGGTTGTAACTTGGTTGGGTCTGCCACCCTGATCCATTAGGTGTGACCGGAATGTGGCGCGAGAGTGGGAGGTCAACACCCAACTCTGCTGAAGATTTTGATCACAAAATTGAAGAAGAATCATCACCCTCTTCCATCTATCACCGCATAGGGGGATCCCTGGAGCCCACCGCTGCAAGAAACTGGACTAACTGGCACACCGCCGTCAACGTCCTGGAACCGAACCGGACTGTCCAGGCCTGTGCAACCAGACAGTATCTGGCATGACCCTATCGGTTTTTTCCGCTCTTCTAGTTACATCCTTCACGGAAAATAATTTCAAAATTCTAAGAATTCATGAAGATAGAGTGTTATCCTCGAAATTTAGAGTTGCTTCTACACTTTAAAACCTGATCTGACCTTGTGTTTATTCGTTCCACTTTGTAGGTCAAACTGGATTGGGGCTCTATTTAAGTTGCCTAATTGGCGTGATCTGTTAGCGTACCGGTAGCTTGTTTGGTCTGTCCAACATGCCGGCGTCTTGTGTAATACTTGAACATTGCCCTCTGTGTTGCTTTAAATCGTTTCATGGTAAAATTAGTATTACGTGAACTCTCATGTTCATTTTGGTTGGTTGAGTTGAGCGTCAGGCAGCGATAATGGACTTGAGCCCTGATGTGAAACCTGAAAATACTTTTGATGTGATTGATGTCCACCCCAGTACTTGTGATGTGAGTGAATTATGTACGCCAGCTACTCACGGAGCACGGTGTGTGAGACTGGAGAACAGAAAACCACGAGTAGGAGGACTTTGCTCGGCTAACGTTACGTTCCAGGCCATGTTTGCTACCTCACTGTGTTGTACTACAATGCGCTTGTGGTGGCGCTCAAAATTCGCCCGTTTCGAGGGGTTTCTTCACACTCATCAATGGAAAGTACTCAGCATTGTACTCCTTCTGGTGCTGTTTTGTTTGGGCCTGAAGATGGTGACTGTGGACACAGACTTCGATAAGCTGTGGGTAGAAGGTGAGTTGATGAGATACCTTGATAATACAATCACGTTTCAAAATTAGCTACTAGAGTCGACAGAATATTACCTTTCACATATTAATCCCCTTGGTTTTACCAATGTATTCCGACACCAGTGATGCGGTTAGTTACATACGCTTGTAGATCACTGATAGCAAAATAACTAGGTCCGCCGCCAATCGAAATGAGTTTTATTGCAATACTTTCTTAGTTCTTTTGGATTACCTTGTCGATCTGATCTCTACTAGATCTGTGGTATACCTTTGCATGTTGAAGTCCCAGTATTAATGATTCTAATGTACAAATACTTCGACTTCCTTATGGTATTCAAGACAGTCGCAAATTTGAACTTGCTTCTACTAATGGAAACTTGATAATAATTATAAACTACGTATTCAGGTTTAGATACTTGTGCGCTTTATTTTTTTGTTACACACCTAAGTGTGTTGAACAGCAGACTGAGTGAACCCCATAGTCACAAGGACCTGCCGTTCAGTGATGGTAACCGGCAACCTAAGCCCTGGGACTCGGGTGGCGAACTACATGAGACCCCGAAAGGTTAGGTGTGGTATTAAACCGGACGACAGTGGAGCTGCCTACCACCAGTCGGGTGGTGGTGGTGGGGCTCGAACCTCGGACCATAGGGTCCAAAGCACGCCGGTGACAGTGACTAAACCACTGCGCCACCACCACCCTATATAATTTACCATGGCATTTAGGGTGCAGCAAATACCGAAAATGAAGCTATCCGTGGGTTGTGTTCCATTCATATATTTTATTCGAATTGAAAACAAGGTTTTCACTGCTCAGTTATCTCCAACAAGGCCTAAAAAGTACTTTATCATAGTTGAATGTACCCGACTGTTTCTTAGGGTTGTCATGGACATTTGTACTACTCAATGGGTTAATTGAGTGCAAGAGTTTATATTGATTAAAAATTTCTGGACTTATCTCGAAATCGCTAATTGTGGTTAGGAATTTGTGGCTTTCAGTCCAGATATTTTTCTTTTGCTCTTCAGCAGCAGTGTTATGATTTTGTGTTGACCAATCGCATAGCTATCCTATTTAGGGGCTTAGGTCACTGATTCCAATGACCGAACAATAGATTTTCGTGACCATGTAGTTAGTCGATTCTACTTTCCGTCACTCCACGAGGTGATATATACAGGTTGATTGTAACTTTGCATATGAGATTTCATCCATTGAATTAGTCTGGTTAATATTGTACTCACTCATTTGGCGTCTTTCGTTAAATATGATGAAAGTTATGCTTCTAACACCTTGCTGTGATTTTTCCGTGATAATCAAAGGCCAAATTTAAGCCAATCAGGAGAATCGGTAACTTCCGTCTCGACCGTTATACGAGGACGCTACGTTGCGTCCAACGAGTTGTCAAGTTTCACGAAAAATCTGGAGTGTTAGCAAAATATCTCCGTTTTGTTAGTGTTGTCACCTCTTAAATTCTAGGTGTCGAGACTTCGGATATTATAACTAACTGATACGTAATGCAGCCTCGAAACTAGGTTGCATGTGGTCTAAAGTCAAGTCAACATTGTTGAACGTAACTAGTTGCGTTCACAGGCAATCTGCCTTTATGCTTTTATCATAAATA